CTGTTTGAATTCTGCAAGCAAAAGTGAAATATCCTGCAATTTAGGACAGGTCAGATTGTAGATTTTTCCACCATCTCAAAGCCTTGTTTAGTCAGCTGGATGAATTAGAGCAGGTGAGCATGTAGCAGTTTATAAAAGAAACCCTTCATGCTCTGCAAAACCAGCCTTACAGTGCAGTAGGACTCTGCACAAGGGTGCCAGCTCATCACACAGCGTGCCCACGAGCGGCACTGCTCAGTCTGGGCTGGATGTGGAAAGCAGGACACAGGGAGCATTGCTAGAGGCTCATCATGGCTGAAGGGTTATCATCCATCACCTACAAATCAGTTTTTCTTTTCTGAGGAAAAGAAGAAGACGAGCAGACAGGATACTGAAAAACTGCGTGCCTCTGAATCAAGAGATCAGGTTTCTGTAACTCTCTTGCTTTGTGCTTGGGCACCTGATACCTGTCAATGGCTTTACTTCTTTGTGTGTCCTGCCTAGATCATCCTGTGCCCCTCCTGTGCAAAGGGCATAGAGGAACTGGCATCAGTTGTGCCTGGAAATAGATGCCAAAAAAGATCATGAAGAAGGGCAGAAAGGGAGCAAGAAACATCTCACTGGATCTTTTGACAGGTGTAGGATGCTGGAGATGGTCCCAATTTTCTCCAAAGCCTTTTGTTCTTCTGTTTCCTAAGCAGCTTCTTCCTTGAAGTTTTTCACGTGTGTGCCCAAGGAAAAACATGGTGGGAAGGAGCTGAGCTCAGCTCAGATTAGCCCCTAGACTGCTGGGGCCTGTGGCATGCCTGCTCTTCCCTTAAAGTAAGGAAATGTGTCGGTCCCATCAGCCAGTGAAACAACAAACATGAAAGCTCCACTCCCAGCCAAACAAGTGATTTATCCTCAGTCTCAGTGACCAAAATCTGCTGTTGTTTTTGTCTGTTTCCAGAAGGTATCTTCACCCACTCTTGACCCCACAGTGCTCCTCATTGCTCCCTGTGTCTTTATACAGGGTGGCAGGAGGAAGAAAAGACAGAGAAAGGATGCTAAGCCTATGCCACGTTCTCAGTAGTATGCAGTATGCAAAGCCTTTCTGTTTCGGTTTATTCCAGAAACAGGATCTATTGAAATCCTCTATCCCCACAGTACAGTATGGCCTTTGCTAGTAACAGGCCGCAGGTTTTGTACTGAGTTTGCAAAGGGTCAGGACTGAGGCTTGTCAGGCTTGCTTTGCCTGGACTTTTATTGCCCTGCCTGTTGCTTTGTTTAAATTTGGTTTAGCTTGTAGGAACATTTTTTTCCTTCTGACCAGGTGGCTATGGCTGATTGGTTTTGCTTTGATTAGCACTGTATGGTACAACCATAGTTTTATACAGATAGCAGTAACAAGTACCTCTTTTGTGCACCATGAGGTGTTCATGACTCCAACTTAATATGCTAGAGTTCATAGAGTTAATCCTAGGCCTGGTATGACAGCAGAGGACTTGAGAATTGGAGGCACAGGATGTGGTGCAGAAGAGTACAGGCATGGGATGGTAAGAGATGGGGCACAGGCTTGGCTCTGGAGAGCTCACAGCTACAAACAACCCACCTATGGTCAGTTAAAGAAATGCAGATATGGAGCTGGACAAGAATGGTTTTAGGGGTAGTAAAGAGGACAGAGAAATAGCATCTTACTTGTATATAATCAACATATATAGTAAATTTGGATGTAAAGCAGCGTTTCAATCCAATGAAGATTGGATGTAAAAGCATGTTAACAATCATAAAACTGATCCCCAGAAGATTCTAGAGTGAGGAAGAAGAAACCATCACCATCAACCTCACATTCCTCCCGCTGAAGGACTCCAGATGCTGACGACTCCCTGTAACACCACCACCAAAATGAAACCACCAATGCTAGCATGCAGATGAGCAAAGGCAGAGGGAGCGTAACACCAGGAACAAGGGTAGAAGCTAAGTGTCTGCATAACATTTTTTTATTGTTATTATTGTTATTGAAACTTTTTCTGCATAGGAGTACTATTTATTTTTCTGTAATAATTACACCTGGATAATAATGATTTTTTTTTATTAGAATGCAAATATTTCAGTTATAATAACAATAAATTCTTGCCTTTATATATAAGGTACGTTTCCCTTTTGCCCAGAAACACTGTTTTAAGCATAACACTGTAAGAAGATTCCTGAATAACTCAGAAACACACTATATTTCTCACAGGCTCACAATAACCAAATGACTTTATGAGCTGAAATCACCATCAAAATGTGAAAAATGCATCTGCCTGGGAGAGGTCTAAAGAGCCTCTTGGTCTCAGCTGAAATGGTAAACGGTGTTTTGGGTAAAATCAACTTTTTTTTTCAGTTTCACCCTTCAAAACTGTTCCTGCTCCCTTGGATGCTCGCTCTCTGAGTCAAAACTGATCCTGCTCACCTTCTAGACTGTACTTTGGCCAAGAGGGAAGCCACAACAAATACCTTAGGAGTTAGGATACATTATTTTTAGCCACAGATCAAAATTCAAAGAAATAAACAGAAACTCCCAACATCCTAATCTTTTTCCAGTTCCTCAGTAAAGCTTTCCATGTTAGTATCTGCCATTTCTAATGGATCTATAATGTTTTACAGATGCATTATGCTTGTAATAAAATTCAGAAGAGAAGCATTGCTATTAAATATGTGCCCTCAGCTCCAGATTTTCTAAACTTGTGGAAAAAAAAAAACAGGCCAAGGACAGGAGCCACCACGGCAGGCAGACCTGTGCCATTTAACACCACGCAGAGGTGAGCAAACCATGTGAAGGACTCCCCTAGTTCTGCGCTTCCTGAGCAGAATTACAGTGTAACCTGTAATTACAAGGTAACCTATAGTTACAGATGTTTTCATGTCCTGGACATCCTGGACCTGTGGTGTAGAGGTGATTGCCATAAGCCTGGTGGCCATTCCTAATTCTGGGATTTTGGCTTCCCTCTTCCTTGGAGATACTTGCAGAGTATTTTTCTCTTGACTTTATGTGTCTCTGCACCAAGTTCAACTCCCTGCTCCTCACAGGACTACCTAAAACTAAACCATATGACTAAGACCATTGCCCAGATGCTCCTTGAACTCTGACAGGCTTGGTGCTGTGACCACTTCCCTGGGGAGCCTTATCTTAACACCTACCTGTAGCAGGTGAGGGTTGCTTAATAGCTATAAACCCTGGGCAATGATACAGCAATTCCTGGTTCAGTGCCCAGCCCCATCCATGAGCTGCTCTGTAAAACTGGGCTGTGTAAAGTGTGTGTGTGTTTTCCCATACCTGCAACATGGAAATAATGAAATCCATGTAATTCCTAGGTTATAGTAATGATTTACTAGTAGGAAAAGCCCTGTAAGAGCTTTAGACAAAAGAGCCTAGCCACTTAAATACTAATTCACCTCTCTTCTGAGTACCTAGGTCCAAGTGTCAGATACTTTGGGTTAGCAACTGGAGAAATAAAATGTGTGTCTCCAAGTGCTCCACTAATGCCTGATCCAGAGCATGCTGGAGTCAGTGGGAACCGCCCTGTGCACTTCAGTTGGCTTTGGATCTGGCCGAGCATGCACATGGCTTATTATGACCATGGGTACAAGACAGGTAATACCATGTGCAAATGACTATGTAGCAGCATTTCCATGCATAACCACAGTAATTGTGGGCGAAAACTGGGCATATACTTGTTTACCCCAACCGTATGAAAACTGGCCCTAAAACTAAATGTTTGGGCTATGGACTTGAACATCCAGAACTTTGGAAGATGTGCTAGATCTAGACCCAGTTTTGTGAGTGGCTTTGGTTTTCTCTTTGGATGACCCCAGACATCATTTAGAGATGTTCAGCTTTGATACTTGAATACTCCCTAGTTTGAATATACTGAATATATGTTTGTCTCCCTGCTAAATGAAAAAAGAACTCTTGATTTGCTGTATATTTTCCCTGTTTGCCAATCAAGATGGTGAGATACCATCTTACTGCAATCTGTTGATTTATGAGAGGCATGGAAGCCCTCCTTCCTTAAACACAAGTTGCCATAAAGGGTGCTTAGTCCATTTCTTTTCTGTGAGTTTAATTTTGGTCAGGTCCTTTTGCCTCATCTGACAGGCACTACCCCCTCAAGCCTGTAGGCCTTGGTCCTCTGGGTCTTACCAGGGGATTGCACAAGACTGATTGCTTAGTCCCACTTCCCTCCTTTGCAACTGGCTATGACCCCAGTCCTGGAGCATGACATCTGAGAAATGCTTAGATCAAAGCCCTCCATCTGCCAGTGGGGTTTGCCCATTAACCTTTTGTTTGTGTACTTGCTGTGCAATAGAGAGGCACTTCAGATGTTTCCTTACTACACAAAGGCAGGCATTTAAAGCAAGCAATATGCTTTATGACTCTGGGCATAGTTACTCCACACACTGTCAGACTCTTTTCTCTGCAGAGTTTAATGCTGGGATCTTAAACATCGCTAATGCCTTATAGACAATCCATTAACATCAGTGTCTCCTAAGTGGCTAGCCATACCATTATTTATAAAATAGGGATCCCTTCCTAATGCTACAGCTACCAATCCCTTAATTTCCCAAGCATATAATCATGTGTATTATCAGCTGTGGAGCATTTTACACTGCTACATATTTTTTACTATATAATGAGCTGCGTGTGTGTGAGTGACATAGAAAAAATAGATGAATATTGCTCTTGCACTTACTGCAATGTATGAGCTGATCTGGTTAGACACGAAATGCAGACAGAAATCCGCCTCACCTCTCAAGCTAATTTTAGTCTCTCCCTCTCTCCTCTCTGGCTGTGTGTGTATAAAATCACTCGCAGTCTGACAGCGTTCCAGTAACCTGTGCCACGCGCAGAGCGGGATGTACTTACTAACCATCTGCTTGCATGGCATGGGTTAACTGAGCCTGTGGGATTGTGCTTACCTAAACAAAACCACTGCAGTGAGGGGAAAAACAATGAATGGGTGGAGATGATCAGCCCATGCATTCCAGCTAGTGCAGTCCAGGCAGCAATGACAGCCTGAAGGTTGCAGCAGCTTCAGGATCTGCATTCCAAGTGCACAGATCTTACAGTCTGGAGTGATTTTACGTGGAGCTGCTCTTTATTTGCTGAGCCATGGCCAGTAACCAGGCCAGCCTGCAGGATGATCAGAGCAGGCACTGCAAGTTCTTATCCTATATGTTCTACCAGGCTGTGAGAGATCACAAGCCTGTGTGGATGCTGGAAGACATGAGAACTATGGAGTATTTTTACTGGGAGGAAAATGCCAGCCTAAGAACCTACTCACCTTCAGAAGCCCTTCTCTATGCAGTGGTGCATAACCACCTGCCTTATGCTCAGTATCTGCTGTCTCATTTTCCAGAGGAGGCTCTCAAGGTGCCTGGGGAACACTTCTGCTATTGCCCATCCTCTGCTCCTCACTTGGCCATGGCGGTCACATATGACAGGAGAGATATCTTGGGACTGATCATCAAAATCGCACACAAGCTCCCCAGCTTGAACTCCTACATCAATAGGACTGGCTGCTTTCATCTGGAAGATGGGAAAACCCCCCTGCACCTTGCCTGTGAACTGCTGAGGTCAGAGACAGTCCTCATTCTCCTCGGGAATGGAGCTTCTCCCAGGATAGAGGACAGTAAAGGGCTCACCCCACTGGATGTCATCCTGGAGCAGATGTGGGACTCCAAAGTCAATGTGGCATCAAAGAAGCTCTGCCTTGACTACCTCTTGCTCTTCATGCCCAACCCACAGTTTAAGATGCGGAAAGTTCTGCAGGAGCACCCGGACCACTGGACAGCTTTGCTGGGGGAAGACAAATTCAACAGCCTGGTGGGGAACACACCTGCTTCTTTATATCTGCAAGCTATGCAAACTATTCTCCAGACTCTTCCCCCCTCCCACTTCCCTAAAAGCATCCAAGAACTACCTATACCTCAGGCACTAAAGCCCTTACCATCCTATGGCAAAAAGCTACCGACAAAAAATGTGGTAAATGTTTTTCCTTGACTTTATTCACTGGGTCTTGGATTTTCAAAGGCAACTTAGGGGAGCTGGTCATCCACCACCCTCTGCATTTTAGTGTGATTTTAGTACTTAAACTATTAGGCTATGCTGGAAAATCCAATATTTTGTGACAAGATTTTAAATGTCTTTTATAATTGATTGCAGGCACGGCACTTTTAAAGACAAAAGCCTTCCTTGTTTTCTGTTTTGTTGTGCATGTGAAGGGTTAACTGTAGTCAAGACTGTGTTATGTTTGGTTTCTTAGCTGTCAGGTGGTATCATTGTATCTGAATTTCCAATATGATAACTGTATCCTGTGTAACTTACCTGGGTAAAAAGGAGCTATGTGCCCAGTGGGATTTTCAAATGGTGTAACTATGGGACTGTGTTCTGCTAGAGCTGGGAGAAATACCATCCTGTACCAACAGGGTTCAAACACCAGGATTCCTTTCTAACAATGATCTAGCATCATCTAGTAATAACCAAAAAGTCCATGGCTGATGCTGCAGGGACGTAGAGGCAGTCCTGCAGGGTACCTGATTACTTTACAGCAGGTCACAGCATGGAGGGCATGAGTTCAGAGAGGGGCAGTGAGTGTATATTCCTGGAGGCAGGCGACAGAGACTGGCAGAATAGCTAACAGAAAGCATCCTATCTCACCTGGGAGTGAGGGGGTTAAAGGCAATCCCAGCCCTGATGCCTCTATAGACTTGTGCAATGGGTAAGGAACCATTTTCCCTGCTGTCCAGTAAACACATGGTAATCAGAGCAGGGCCAGTGGAAGCCCTGTCCTTCATAAGTGACATTATTTCTCCCTGACTTGTGTTTTAAGGCTGAATGTATCTCCACAGGAGACGTAGCTCAGTAATGTGATTTCCCAGTGGGTCTCAGAGCCACGGGCATTCACTAGGTATCTTAAGCTGGAGTATGATGTTCTGCTGTTAAAAGTTGTCACTGGTTGTCATTTAGAGTATTTTTGCCACCCGGGTCCAGACAGAGGGCCTGATCCTGGAAAATACCAAAAGTTCCCATTGACTCCCCTGGGCACTGCAGGCGGGGTGTGTTTGCAGAAAGCAGGGCTGGGGCTGCTCTGCTTTCTGGGGAGCTCTGCACCTTGCTGCCCAGGCAGACCCCTGTCTGTTCAAGGCACTGGTCCTGCTCTCCTGGCTGTGCTCAGCACCAATGGAGCAGTGGCAGGATCCCAGCTCCCTCTGGGGGACATCCCTTATTTTGGACGCCAACATTCTCCTCTCTTTGTAAGTGCAACCCTTTGCTCTGCTGAAGCAGCGTAACCCATTTCCCCAGATCCGTACTGAACAGCAGTGAAGAAATCATCCATCTCTAAATAAATTTGGAGCCAAAGGCAGTAGGGCACAAACCCCTTTTGGCAAGGCTCTGGCTAAGAAAGGATGTGCGTTCACATCTCAATTGCTCCATGCAAAAATGGCTCATGTCTCATCTGGCTAATTCCCTGCATGTGCCAAGGTGGCTGTGCTGGAGCTGCACCCTTTTTTCCATCAGCACAGGGAGCACTTTTGCTCAGTTTTCCTGGGCACGGGGCATCTGCCGTGTGCCAGGACAGCAGCGATGCCAGCCGCAGCCAGGTGGAGATTTCCTGCAGGGCACAGCCAACTGGAACATCCTTTCGGAGACACCGGGATGCTCCTCCTGGACACCCCTTCCCGCGCGCCATGGAAGCACCTCAGCGCTGGTGCCACTAAGTGAAAGCACAGGCTTGCTTGTGAGATGGAGAAAATGTCAGCACAGCTCTACAAGTGGGGAGTGGGCCATGAAGGGGTTAACCCTGCTCCCGAAATCCCACATCCCTGGTGCAGCAGTGTCCTTCCTCCCCAGCCCCTGGGGACTTGCATGTCTTTCCCCATCTGTGTCTTCTTCCTTGTGTGACAGGGGAGGGTGCAGGCAGTGGCAGAGAAATTCAGGGTCAATCTTGGGTGAGGGTTTTGTGGCGAGGCTGCTGGCTTGGCAGCTTCTGCGGCAGGCAGAGGCTGTCACAGTTTGGGAAGCAAAGCAGAGCCCAAGGCAGATTTGCATTATAAACGGTGGCTGAGCTGCTTCTGTCAAGCCCTGCAGGCTCCCCAGCCCTGACAGCCCCCAGAAACCCGGAGCTGGAAGCAGAGCATGAAGCAGGTGCTCACTGCCCAAGGCTGAGGAAAGCAACTATGCAGAGCACGGCCCCTGTGGCACCCCAGGAGTCCGGAGCAGCAGGATTGGGTTTGTCCCCAGCAGCAATGCGGTATCTCATCCGGATGTCGGTGGGCGAGAGGCGGAGGAGGCTGGTGGTGGATATTATTAGAATAGTAATTAGGCCCCAGGAGCCGAGATCCCAGGGAAGGAGGGAAGGGAAATCATCAACTGTTACTGCACCGGCTTGAAACCATGAGAGTTTCGGTGCTATAAAGAGTTTCAGAAAAGACAGGAGGGATGGGAAGGCTGTTCGACTTACAAACCAAAGGAGGCAGGTACGGATTCTTGGTATTAATGAGGTAGCACTTTCTAGTAAGGCAGGGGGCTGTACCCAGAGAGCCAGAGCAACCCACTGGGAGCAAGTGGGTCTAAAATGGTGCAGGGATCTCTTGTTGACTGTAATAGTTGTGCATCATTGCAAAGGTCAGGGTTCAGGCACTTCAGGCTTTATGGGTGGATTTGTAGCAGGCAGCAAGTTGCTTGTGTGTATGCATTCATCCGTGTGGGAGGCTATCCTCTATCCACTGGCCCAGAGAGAGGATAAGAGATGGATTTTTCAGCAGCTGCTCAAGAAACTCAAATTCTGGGGCACATCTTCATCTGGTACCACAGCCTGGAAGAAAGCTGCTGGCCCGTTGTTGGCCAACATGCAAAAACTCTAGTGTGCTCAGCCCAGTGCACAACAGGCAGCTACTGGAAAGATCACTCCATGGCCCTCTCATTCCTCCTTTTCCTGACCATTTTAACAAGAGATCAAGCACCAGCTGGCCCTCAGCTACTGATCTACCATCAGACCTCCATGTGCAGTCCCGATGGGCCAGAGTTTAGAGCCATTAGTGTTGTGGTGACAACTCTTTCCATCGCCTGTAGCGATACGAGTGCAGGATGGGGCGTCCTGCTGGAATGGAGGAATCTTCTCCCTAAACCTGGTTTGCTTATCTTGTGGTGACCTGCCTGTTAGTTTGAGTTCCTGTTTGTCTTCCTGCTCAGTACAGTGACATTACATCAGATATGGCCAAATCTACCTCAGCCCCGTCTGTGTTGATTTTTTTTCTCCATTCTTTCCAAACCAGGTCATTGGCAAAAGTAAACTCAAAATATTTTCCACACTTCGTGCAACCTGACAGTCCGTAGTCTTAAAAAAATCCCTATGCTTGCATGACAAATATGTTAGTGACATTGTTAATCAAAAAGGGTGCTAGGTGCTGTGTAGTGATGTTTACATTTTGCTTATATGCATACTGAGTAAGTGTAGCTAAGATCTGTATTTCTGAACTTAGGAAAAAGAATAAAAGCAAGAGAGAAAGAGGGGAGGGTAAAGTCGTTGCTAATCTTTGGATTACAGGTTGGCTCTGCAGGTTACATCTTTTTAATTTCAATTTTGAGGAGTAGCATTGTAAGGATCTGAGTTCCATGTGTATGTGTGTGACTTCATTTTGGATGAGTATCACTTCAGTGAGCACTGCGAGTGACTTGGGGGGGGGGGGGGCCAAGGGGGGGGTGGGGGGGGGGGACACGGCCTGCACGGCACCCCC